CTATCTATCTATCTATCTATCTATCTATCTATCTATCTATCTATCTAATTTCTGTTCAAAAATTTAATCCAGGAACTATTGTTCGAAATTCTTTCTCTAAAAATATGACCTTTTCATTATTTTGTCCTTTAAACACATTTCTTAGATACAGGTGACTTAGCAGCTTGCTAATATCTTTTGTATTCCTAGGTCTAGGACACCTATGTTCACAGATATAATGACCTTTGCCCCAAGCATTTTATCCATATCAAAATATTCTACTTCTTGGATTTCTTTTTGATATTGCCTTAAGTTATTTTATAAATATCTGCCTCCAAAAAGGAGCTCACTAGAAGGTTTTTCATTCCATATTCCCCCTTGATAGATATTCTTTTATAACTCTTTTCTTCCTGTGCCAGACTTGCAATGCTCCATCTGGTCTTCCATTTTTCAAAATAGGTATCTTTAAATGTCTAAACAAGGTTAGACATGATGGAGCTTGCTTTTAATCACAGTACTTGGAAGGAAGAAGCAGGCAGATTTCTATGAGTTATAGGCAAGCCTGATGTACACAGTGAATTCCAGGACAGTCAAGGCTACAAAGCTACAAGACTGTGTCAAAAACAAACAAGCAAACAAAAAGTCTAAACTAATGTCTAAGCATTTCCTATTTTAAATGTTTAAACAAACTTTAAGGTCTTCCATCAAAAAACAGTCTTAAAAATAGTATACACAAACCATCATAAATAATCTTATTAAATATTGGTTTAAAAATCTGAACTTTTAACAAAGAACTCATTAAAAAGTACTGTTTATTACATGTAATAAAAAATTCTCCAAGTCATAGTAGCACCACATTTTGTAGGCAACGAAAAGGTATCTGATTGGACTTAAGGCCTGCTCAACAGTAAAGAAATCATGCCTGGAACTGGAAACTTAGCCAAGATTCAGGGGCTAACAAAGTCATGAATCTTAGAGAAGAGCCTCATAAGCACCAGTTTACTGAGACAGCATAATTCTTAACCATATACTAAATACATAATACCTGGAATGTGTATAGTGCTCATCCCCCATCAAAGAAACTTCTCTTTGCAACAGTAGGAGACCATTACAAAAACCTCACAACTCATCAAAATGCAAAGAACAACTGACTGTGGGGTGTTTAACCCCAGTGGATACATTTTCAATACAACTCCTGCAGCTATGGTTCAGGGAACACTGTGAAAGAAGGGGCAGGAAAATAGTAAGAGCCAGAGGACCAGGAACTATTCTGAGAGATTGTTTCTCCTAGAAATGACAGGGAAGCTATACTCATATTACCTCAACAATATGACTATCTAAACAAGATATGAATAGACCATAACCAATAGACTTGTTCACAAAGAAGTAGGAAATCTCACAGGCCCCAGATTAGACAACAGTCACCTAGTGACTTTTGAGAGTTGGGAAGATTAGTTTTCTTCAGGGATGAGCCTGCTAATTCATTATCTAACAGTAAGTGGTCAGACCTGAAACCATATACGTACAAACAACATTAAACAGACTCAGAGGGTTATATTTGCATATTAATGTTATATAAAACATATACAACACATATTTAAGAATATATTAATATAATATACGGATTATATAATATTAATGTTGTATATGTAGCTATATATGAGAAAAAGAGGCCATGAATTTGAGAGTGAGAATGGGAGGGGCTTCAGGGAGAAAAGGGTAAGGGAGGAACAATGCAATTATATTTAAATTGTTAGCATGTATACAATCTCTAAAAACAATTCATTGGGTATTGGTGTATGCATGTGTATGCATGCATGCTTTCCTGTGCATATGAATGTGGTGGGTAGAGGTTAGTATAGGATGTCTTTATCTGTCTCTGCCTTGATTTTTGGGGACAGAGTCTCTCCATTCAACATGGACCTCACTACTTAAACTGTACTGGCTGATCAGTGGGTCTACAAGATCTAGCCCATTTCTGTCCTTCAATACTAGGGTTACGGAATTTTGTCACTATGCTCAGCTTTTATGTGGGTGCTTAGACTTGCACAGCACGCACTTTACCCACTGAACCATCTCCCTAGTTCCTGAAAATCTTAACTTTGTTGCCCTTTTGTTTTAAAACAATATGTGCAAGCTACATTTATTGAACTTGTAATGTGTTCTGAATTATTTTTTTTGTAGTGCTGAGTCACTCAACCTAGGGAATTCTATGTGCTAAGGATTACTTTACCAATGAGCTTTATCTTAACCCCTTTAACTTATCTCTTTTTTATAAATATGTCTATCTATATATCTATATCCTGTTGTGACTATGCTGTTTTGCAGTAATAGTATTTTTGTTGTTTACAAAGAGGAATAAGCATTTAAATGGATTCAAGTATTACTATATAGTAAATATATACAAATGAATAATATATTGCTAATGTATCACCAGTATAATGTTTCATTGCCAATATATTGCCTACAAATTTGCTTACCCATCATTTTCACTTGGCTGGTCTACTGATGAAGTTAAGTTTTCGGATTCTTTCAACATTGGTAAGACTCTGTCAAGAAGACTTTTATATTTGTCGTCAATAAGTTCATAACCATCTTTTAATATCTCCATCTAAATCGAAAGATTAGAGAAAATGAGAATTGGCTATGCTCCTTTTATACATCTAGTGTTTCTTGGATTGTAATTGATGCAATTCCCATTCAAACTATTTAACAATTATATAAAAAAATAGGAACTAGAAATAGAAAATGTACTAATAGCGAATGTTTGCTTTAACCCATCCACCGCCACCATTTTACTTCAGCATCTTACAGCTTCTTTCTTCTTGTCATCTGGAATATGAAAGTACTGATGATGCCATTCAGAATCTGAAACTCCAGATATGGATGATAGGGACCTGCAATGAGACCCACAAGTTTAATGTCTTAAGCTATATTAATGTTGCAATGGCCAGCCAACTTTAGTCATCCTTTGAAATAGTGATTCCCGTTAGAAATTAGTGCTATAGGTTTTAGATCAAAGGTAAAGGGCACTGCACATTTAAGGGAGAGGTCATTTGGAATTATATCCCTGTATGTTAGCCATCTTTCAAAAATGTTTAAATCTTTTAGTACATCATGTAATGTAAAATTAAAGCAAAGAGTAAAAGCTCCTTGAATTATACCTGATTCTAGAGCTGGGGAAGACAAAAGACAGATAGAGCCTGGGACATTTTAGTGTGTTCAAAGTAAATATTAACTGTAACAATGCCAGGATATATTTATTAATGGATCTATTTTAGTAAAGATTAAAATCCTTCAGATAAATTATGAATATATTATTATATACTGAAATTAATGAATATAATCAGGAAAAAGAAAATATTCTTTCTCAAACAGAATGCAAACTAAATATGAAGAATTATGCAGCCATAAAACAATCACAATGTACTACAATAGCAATAGTATTATAGATTTAATTAGAAACCTTCAAGTAGAGACTTCAGCACCACTGTCAGCCACTCAGTGAGGTGAGAGTGCAAGCTGAGACTTCCGTCCTTGTGGCAGAGCTTCACTCAGCCCTCAGTCTTCCTTATTTAATTAACATTGAGGGCAATACAACAGGCCAGCTTGGTCCTTCACAACTCATATCTTGTATTCCTTCCACCCACCCATTGCTTTGTACACTTGCCTCCTTCTTTTCCCTCTCCTAAAGATCATAGCCTAGCTGGGTTTACAAGGCCCGAAGGGCTCAACCTCCTGGGAAATGAGACTGTTACACATCATTTGAGTGCATATTTATATATTTTTTACTTCATCTTTAACCTAAACTCCCATACCCTTCCTTTTTCATTCTTTTTCTTCTTTTATTTCCCTTTCTGTACACTTTCCACTCTTCTATTTTCTGAATAGCAACCTAATGCTAACACTAGTCCCAGTGTGGTTTCTTGCTTGTTTTCATTTCTACTCATATTCGCAATACAATAACTATTACTTTATCAGGGCTATAAGTATTCATTTGCTTCCTAAAACAATTGATTTTCAAGAGGAAATGACTGAGTGTTTTGTAGTCAACAGGTATTCTAATTTCATAGTGGTTGTTGGTGTTTTGAATATGAACGGCTCCCATGGACTCATATGTTTTGAATGCTCAACCCATAGAAAGTGGCACTACTAGGAGGTGTGGCCTTGTTGGAGGAAATGTGTCACCGTGGAGGCAGGCTTTGAGGTCTTATCTGATCAAGGTACATACAGTGTGGCGAACAGTTTTTCCTTCTGCTGCCTGCGGATCAAGATGTAAAACTCTCAGCTCCTATTCTGGCACCAAGTCTGCCTGCATATTGTCATGTCCCACAATAATGATAATGGACTATTTGAAATTATAAGCTAGCCCCAATTAAATGGTTTTCCTTTATAAGTGTTGTTCATAGTCAGTGTGTCACTTCACAACAATAAAATCATAACTAAGACAGTGGGTTTACTGCTGAATAATGATAAGGTTTGCTTTTCTTTTTTCTTTTTTTTCAAATTTATATAATTTATTTTCATCACATTCATCTCTTTTTCCAACCCGCCTTAACAATTATGTCACTTTTACCCGAATAGGTATTACTGGCCTCATAGGCCAGTAGTGTAGCATGCAGGATCTACGTCTGAGTAAGCACTGATTACCACCATACCCACCACTCCTTCCTAGCAACCTGCAGAGCACCTTCCACTACTTCAAATTCTAGCCAGCAGAATGAAGCTTCCAGATCATATCCAGCTTGGTTCTCCACATATTGCAACAAAATCATGGTTCCTCTTGCGGCAATACTCTATCCATACACTATGACTTGGTTAGAACTAAGCAAGACAATAAAAGAGCCTTTGAAGAACAATTGGGGTTAGCGAACTCACCTTTTCCTCTTTTTTAGGACTGTATGATTTCCATTCATCAAATCCAAGATAAAATAGAGTACCTAAAAATAGCAGACTATTTTAATTCTGACGCCATTCTCAACATTTAGGGAAATCAACAACAACACAGAAAGGCTGTGAGAGGTCCTAGAATGTACCACCAAAACTTGGCATAATCATTTGGTTTTCATATGACTTTATATTGTAAATAGTTTATATTTATGTACGCAGTGCCATAAAATAACAATAATTCCCAGAAAATCAAAACAAAGACTCCTAAAAAAAACTAACTTATACCTGTGTTAACAGCTGCTGTTGCTCACAGTACTTCTTTCTTAGGTTTGTCATTTCCAGATGTAGGTTTGAATAGTCCCTGAAACATAAATAGATGACAGAAATGAAGAAAGATATTAGTGGCCCTTAAAAACTTGAAAATATCCAAAAATAGAATGAGTTATCTAAACTAAGAGTATTCATTATGTTCTTCACAAAATCATATCCGTATTGTTCTAGTGGAATATTACTGCCTTTTACTTTAAAGTCACCATCTTTACTAGTTCAGTATGTCACACGAATTTTAGAGCAATGAGTTTTTAGCGGTGGTGGTAATAACTTGGAGCATTGCACATTCTAGGAAATACTTTTACCACTGAGTTGCATCCCCAACCCCATACATTTGTATTTTTTAAGACTCAGATGAACTTGCTATTTTGGACTTCAGTGATGAATGGAATGACAGATGTCATGCTTAGATTTCTCACAGTCCTACCTTAATGCTCTTCTAGACTCAAGCAAACAAAGAAATAAATTCCTTATTAATTAACTTCAACCACTGGAAGAGAAAAAGATTCCACAGAAGTGTATGAGAACAAATAAATCTTCAGGTTAGGAGTTTTACACCAAACTATCACATTTAAGACTTCTGTTAAGTAATACAAGAGACACATGCTACAGATTGCATTTATAATACTGAATTAGTTTTTATATACAATTTTTCATTGAGTTTTGTGTTTTAAGAATAAACAGCAATACAGACAAAGTTTAAAGTGCTGACAGGTATGCTCCCTCTGGTACTTTTCAATTATTAGAGAGGAACTGCTTGAAGTGCACAATATTTGAACATATCTAATTATCTGTTGATCTTTGACATTTTGACTGGGAAAAGCCAGTCTATCTGAGAGCCTGCTGTGAGATTTTTGTCTCCTAGTAACATGAGAGGCTACTCCCATAAAGTCTCACCAACATGACTGTCCAAATAATGTCAGTTTTATATAGACTAAATAGGATATATTTAGCATATATGCATTTAATAACAATTAATTTAAAAAGAGTGAGGATGGATATATGGGACTGTTTGCAGAGAGAAAAGGGGAGGGAGACATGTAATTAAATTATAATTTCAAGAATAAAAAGTGGCAACACTAGTAAGAGGAGCAGGCAGATAAATGGGCCCTGTGATGGCTTTTTAGAATTAGCTATTTTTTCTTTCATTCAGCATATAGATTCTTACATCTTCAGTTTTTATTGTGGCACCTAAATTCTTCCATGAATTACTTCTAAATATGATATAAAATATAGAACTTCACAATGGGAAAATATCACAAATATTTGCTTAGAAAGAACTTCATAAGGCTACTTTTTCACTATTTAGGAGTAGTGTTTTGACTTGTTTGCATATAAGCCAGCCAGAACTAACTGGAACATTATCACCCATATGATATATACATATGCAATGGTTAGCATTCAACAACAGACTGACATCCAAAATTAACACGGACTGGCCCATGTTCAATTTCAATGAAAATCTTGGTTTCTTTTCAATGTTGATGAAAAATGCTTCTGTTGACTCCATTCCTACTTTCCTTTTTCTGTTTCTGTATATGAAAAGCTTAATTTGTTAAGTCAGAAAAAGTAGAATCATAAAATTTAAGATTCATTTGCATGTTACAGAAAAATGTTCAAAAAATTCTATTTTAATTTGAATACTGGCAAAAGGAAAGATTGGTAGGATTAGCATAATAAAAATGGCAATATTGTCAAAAGCAATATACAGAGCTAATTCAATCCTTATCAAAATCCCAACAAAATTCTTCACAGACCTCTAAAGTACAATACTCAACTTCATATGAAAAAACAAAGAGTCCAGGATATCCAAAACAATCCAGTACAATAATGGAACGGCCAGAGGCATCACCATCCCTCACTTCCAGCTCTATTATAGAGTGATAGCAATAAAAACAACTTAAAAACAGGCATGTGGATCAATGGAATCTAAATGAAGACCCAGACATAAATCTGCACAACCATGAATGCCTGATTTTTGACAAGGAAGCCAAAACTGTACAGTGGGAAAAAAGAAAGCATCTTCAACAAATGGTGCTGGCATAACTGAATGTCTACATGTAAAAGATTGCAATTAGATCCATATCTATTGTCATGCTCAAAATCCAAGGCCAAGTGCATCAAATAATTCAACATAGATCCAGTTACATTGAACCTGATAGAAGAGAAAGTGGGAAGTAGTCTTGAATGTATTGACACAGGAGACCACTTCCTAAATTCAACATCAGTACCACAGACACTGAGAAAAACAACCAATAAAATAGGACCTCTTGAAACTGAAAAGCTTCTGTAAGGCAAAGAAAATGGTAAATAAAATGAAACAAAAATAGTAAATAAAACAGAATGGGAAAAGATCTTCACCAACCCCACATCTGACAGAGGGTTGATCCCCAACACATATAAAAAACTAAAGAAACTAGACATCAAAATATCAAATAATCCAATTTAAAAATGGGGTGCAAAACTAAACAGAGAATTCTCAACAGAAGACTCTCAAATGGCCGAAAAATATTTAAGGACTTGCTCAACATCCTTAGCCACCATGGAAATACAAATAGAAATGACTCTGAGATATCATCTTACACCTATAAGAATGGCTAAGATAAAAAAAAAACACTGAGGACAGCTTATGTTAGAGAGGTTTGGAGTCAGGGGAACGCTCCTCCACTGCTTGTGGGACTTCAAACTTGTATAGCTACTTTGGAAATCGGTATGGTGATTTCTCAGAAAACTGGGAATCAATCTACCTCAAGACCCAGCATTACCAGTCTTGGGCATATACCCAAAGGCCACTCAATCACACACAAGGACACCTGTTCAACTATGTTCACAGCTGCATTATTCATAATAGCCAAAACCCAGAAACAACCTAGATGTCTCTCAACCAGAGAATGGATAAAGAAAACATGATACATTTACACAATGGAGTATTATTGAGCTTTAAAAAGCAATGAGATCATAAAATTGGTAAACAAATGGTTACTGAGTGAGGTAACCCAGACTCAGAAACAAAACCCAAGTATTTACTTACTCCTAAGTGGATATTTGATGTAAAGTAAAAGATAATCAGGATACAATCCATAGCACCAGAGAAACTAGGTGACAAGGAAGACCCTAAGAAGGACACATGGGTTTCCCTGGGAAAGTAGATGAGATCTCCTGGGTAAACTCGGATGGGAGGTAGAGAGAAGAGAACATGAGAGATCAGGATGGTCGAACTTGAGGAAGGACAGAGAAGGAGAGCAATGAAAGAGATATCTTGATAGAGGGAGCCATCATGGGGTTAGGAAGAAACCTGGTGCTAGGGAAATTCCCAGGAATCCACAAGGATGACCCCAGCTGAGACTCCTAGTAATAGTGGAGAGGGTGCCTGACCTGGCCTTCCCCTGTAATCAGATTGGTGACTACCTTAATTGTCATCATAGAACCTTCATCCAGTAACTGATGGGACCAAATGCAGAGATCCATAGCCAAACATCAGGCTCAGTTCTGGGAGTCCAGTCGAAAAAGAGGGAGGAGGGATTATATTCTCAAGGGTGGTCAAGATCAAGTGGTCAATCCACAGAGATCGTCCACTGGAGCTCATGGGAACTCACAAGCTCTATACCTGTAGCTGTGGAGCCTGCATGGGAATGAACTAGGCCCTCCGCAAGTGGGTGGCAATTGTGTAGCTTGATCTGTTTGTGGGGCTCCTGGCAATGGGACTAGGGTCTATCCCTGATGCATGAACTGGTTCTTTGGAACCCATTACCTATGGTAGGATGCGTTGTTCACACTTGATACAGGGGGAGGGGCTTGGTCCTTGCTCAACTTATATATGAGGCTTTGTTAGCTCCCCATTGGAGGCCTTACTCTTTCCGAGGAGTGGATGGGGTGGTTTGGGAGGATATGGGGTGGAGGAGAGGGAGGGGGAACTGTAATTGGTAAGTAAAATGAACAAAAAAATTTAAAATAAATATAAAAGAAAATTAGGCCCCAAAAGTACAAAAACTTGATTCACTAGAAATCCCAATATGGAAAAGAAAAATAAATATCTTCAGTAAAAACTGAATATTGATAATATTTGCTAAAAATGTCCACATATATCTCCTTTAAGATAAATAATGAATCGCAGTATTTCCTCAAAAGTATTATTGTATAAATATCTAGCTAGTTAAAGTTTGCCTTATAATATTACTGCCTGGGTTAAAGTCTTACTGTTAGAGATATTTCATGGTGTCTTATGGACTCTGATTCCTTATAAAACACTGAAGAAGATTATAAAGAATTTATTTGGTAGGTCAAACTAAGGGGGAAAAGACTGAATGAAGAATCAGTAAATACACTGGGCATGTACATCAGAGTACTTAAATACACACTTTATACATTTAGTAACCTTTTATCATTTTCTTTCTCAGTTAAAATGGAAATTTCTATATACCTTAGCACTCACATTTCTGTTGTTGTCTTCTACCCTGGTAATTTTCCTTCTGATTTGTACAGTGGTGTGCTAGGCAATCATAGTTATAGTTGAGCTACCAGCTCATCAATAGCAATTCAAGAATTAAATACTTTGATCTAGTGTTGTGCTTTAACTTAAAAGACATCACACTAAAAAGTTCCATATAAAATAAGAGTGGAGTTTCCCAACTTTGAAGTAATCAAACTTAAAACCCTGGAAGCAGGCCCGAGAAAACAGATTAACACCCACTGTTTCATTTGTGAGTATCTGGCATCCATGTCGCTCTGCGCGTTTCTAAGCTCTTGCATTTCAGTCAGAATTTTCTGAAATTCATCAGAGTAGAGGTTGGCATCGTCAATTTTTATTGTTGGCCCCTAAAGTGGGAACAGTACAGTCAGGCTGGTTAAAAATTTGGCAAACTATTAGCTATCCATTATGAGCACTAATGAGAGAGAGAGAAAAACATGACTAATGGAAAAAATTACATCTGCTTCTGCAAATGTACCTTGATTACAGTGCTACCCTATGCATGCTTCATGTTATAGTTACTGTGTACGTTATTATGCTTCCACGAACTTGAATGCTCCTGGAAGATTAGGAAACTGGAGAGGTTGACTTCTCAGTCCACAATACTTGCTGCTTTTGTGGATTATTCTGTAACGCAAGTCTCAGGGGATATAACACCCTCTTCTGGCTTCTGCGAGAACTACATGCTCATAGTAGTAGACATTGAGGCAAAATACCCACACATATAAAAGTTAAATAAGAAATGAAAATATTTAATTTCTGACTATACTTCTTCCTGATCTCAAGAACAATACCTTACACATAGAATACTTCCAATAAACCCAGAATATACATATATATGCACACATGTGCTTGTATGTATTATATAATACACACATTACATACACAGACATCTATAACACCTTAACTCTGAGGGCTAGGAAGGGATCATAAGTTTGAGGCTGAACATGTCTCAGTCACCTCCACCAAAAGAAAAAGAAAAGAAAAATGAAAACTCTAGTTGAGTATGGCAGTATTTCTATCCCTAACAAAATGATAATACCTTACAAAGACAGAAAAAATAGAATTTATTAAGTACTGTAACATAACCAAATGTGGTATATATCATTATATGTGACTTCAACAATATATTACATTCTGTCATACATATATCTCAATTTGCTTAGAGTGGAACTCTGAACCTTTCTCTCCTTTTCCTGTTGTGAGTGATTATAAAAATAATAAGTCATTAGTTTTATCTTATAAATAATATACAATGGGGTTAGCTCTCAGAAATAATCCATAGCAGACTACAGATCCATTTTTGGTCTGTTGAGTTGTGAGCATATTACACTATGTTTTTTAATGAAATGAAATACCATACTATGGTTATACAACTTAATACATAATAATGCCTATAATAATGCGAAAATTAATTTTGCAGGTGGTGCTTGGAACAGCTTTAATGATTTGACTGTGTATTATTTCCAAAGGTTTAAGTGCATTATCACCAGAGTTAATAGAACTTTTAAAAGTTTTATTCATTCACAATCTCACAGTATGGACATAATGAAAGCTTATTAAAGCTTTTTAATACAGATGAGAGAAGCAATACAAGATAAAAAATTAACAAAATAAAACATTATCAATTATTCTAAATTAAATTAAATAATTTAATATTTAAATTAATTTTAATTTAATAAAATTAATAATTTAAATTAAATAATTAATAATAATTTAATTATTCTAAATTAAATTATTCTAAATTAAATTAAATCCATCACTACAAATAGGAACTAGAGGTTCCTGGTCCCTCAAAGTAAAACTTCAAAACTGTAAATAGAAAATTCTACCTTGTTTTACCTGCTGGAAATGTGTCAGAAGAATAAGTTGATCTGTGAAACACTGTTCTATAATTAACAGGCTGGAGAGAAATTGGATACTTAAACTTAAAATGATAGCCATGAGAAACAATATGTAGTAAACTGAAAATTAGTAGTATAGATATATTCATCAGGATAAACTGCCATCAGACATACTCTATCCAGTAACTGATGGAAGCAGAGGCAGAGATTCACAGACAAGCACTAAGCTGAGCTCTGAGAGTCTTCTGGAAGAAAGGGAGGAGGGATTGTATGAGCCAGGGGCATCAGGATTGGGGTACCCACAGAGAATGCTGACCTGAGCTCAGGGAAGCTCAAGGACGCTGGACTAACAGGGATCCTGCATGGGACTGACCTAGGCCCTTTGCAGGTGTGTGACAATCCTGTAGCTTGGTCTCTGAGGCTTCTAACAGTGAGAACAGGACCTCTCCATGGCTCTTAGCTGGATTTTGGTAACCTGTTCCCATACTGGATTACCTTGCCCTGCCTCAGTCCTGCCCCAGCTTGATGTGCCATGCTTTGTGCAAACTCATGGGAGGTCTGCACCTTTCTGAAAGGAGATGGAGGAGCAGAGGATGAGGAGGGGGTAGATGGGACATGAGGAGGGAGGGGAAGCTAACTGTTACAAAAAAAATGAAAAAATGTTATTTAAATAAAATTAAAAAGAAAAAAGAAGGAACAATTATATTATCAATGAGCCAGTTCTCTCTTTTGATTCTGTGATGAAAAACAAATTGCCTACCACCTGGATAGCTCATAAACTAGGTATCTCCTCTTCAGACAGTACGTATCTTCTCTTTGATAGTCACCAAACTAATGGAATAAAAGCTACCAAGCCACTGCTGCAAAACTTCTTTTTTCAATCATAAAAATTAAAATAAAAAGATGATATCCCTTTTACATATTATTACTTTCAATAACTAATGAGATATGAGAATCATTGTTCCCCCATGTAGAAGTTTTAATCTCAAATTAAACACTCTTCAGGTCATATGTCTTAAAATTATTCTTAATTAGACCAAGAAGATTAAGTGCTCAGTAGAATCAGCAATGTCTGAACATAACTCCCTTTTCAATGGATTGAAAAATGACTCCGTGAAGCATTGTTTTCCATTCTCTAGGTCCTAGAATAGAAACTGTCATTACAAAATCACCATGACTAAATTGAGAGCAGTTCAATTCTGTATAAGAAAAAACAAAATTTGATCTACTTTCCTTTTAAATTAAAACTATTTTACATACCAACCACAGTCTCCCCCACCACTTCTCCTTCTTTCCCTCCTCCACCTCCTTTCTATCCACCCCCAATCCAGGCCTCAGAAGGGTTAAGGGCCTCCCAAGGAGAGTCAACAAAGTCTGGCACCTTGAGGCAGGACCAAGCTTCTCCGGACTGCATCAAGACTGAGTAAGGCATTCCACCATAGGGAATGGGTTCCAAAAGCCAGGTCATGGGCCAGGGACAGATCCTGGTCCCACTGCTAGGAACTCCACAAATAGATGAAACCATACAACTGTCAGTGACATGTGGAGGGCCTAGGTAGGTCCCATGTAGGTTCCCTAGCTGTTGATTTAAAGTCACCGAGCTCCCACTATCTCGGGTCAGCTCTCTGTGAGTTTCCCTATCATCATCTTGAACCCCTTTGCTCATATAATCCCTCCTCTCTCTCTTCGATTGTACTTACGGAGTTCGGCCTGTTGCTTGCCTGTGGATCTCTGCATCTGCTTCCATCAGTTACTGGATGAAGGTTCTATGATGACAATTAGGGTAGTCACAAATCTGATTACAGGAGAAGGCCGGTTCAGGCACCCTCTCCATTCTTGTTAGAAGTTTTAGCTGGGGTCATCCTTGTGGATTCCTGGGAGTTTACCTGGCACCAGGTTTCTCCCTAACTCCATAATTGACCCCTCTATCAAAATATCTCTTTCATTGCTCTCCCCCTCGTTCTCTTGCCCAACTAGACCAAGGTGTTTTTATTACAATAGCTCTATAGTAGAACTTAAAGTCTGAGATGATGATCCTTTATTACACACACACACACACACACACACACACACACACACACACACACACACACACATATATATATATATAGTAGGATTGTTTGGGCTATTCTTTTTTCATATGAAATTGAGTATTGTACTTTTGAGGTCTGTGAAGAATTTTGTTGGGATTTTGATAGGCATTGCATTGAATCTGTAGATTGTTTTTGGTAAGATTGCCATCTTTACTATGTCAATTCTATCTACTCTAAATCATGGGAGATCTTTTCATTTTCTGATATCTTCTTTGATTTCTTTCTTCAAAGACTTAAGGTACTTAAAGTCTTTCACTAGTTTGGTTAGAGTTACCCCAAGGTATTTTATATTATTTGTGGTTATTGTAAAGGGCATTGTTTCTCTGATTTCTTTCTCAGCCCATTTATCATTTGTATATAGGAGAGCTACTGTTTTTTTGTTTGTTTGTTTTGCTTTTAAGTTAACTCTGCATCTTGCCACATCACTGAAGGTTTTTTTATCAGTTGTAGGAATTCCGTGGTAGAATTTTTGGGGTCCCTTATGTATACTATCATATTATCAGCAAATAATGAAAGTGTGACTTCTTCATTTCCAATTTGTATCCCCCTGATCTCCTTTTCTTGTCTCATTGCTCTAGCTAGAACTTCAAGCATTATATTGAACAGAAATGAAGAGAGTGAACAGCCTTGTCTTGTTCCTTATTTTAATTTGATGTTGGCTGTCAGCTTGCTATATATTGCCTTTATTATGTTTAGGTATGTTCCTTGTACCCCTTATCTCTCCAAGATCTTTACAATTAAGGGGTGTTGAATTTTGTCAAAGGCCTTTTCAGCATCTAATGAGATGACCATGTTTTTTTTTCTTTCAGTTTGCTTATATGGTGAATTACATTGATAGATTTTCATATGTTTAACCATCCCTGCATCTCTGGGATGAATACTACTTGATTGTGGTGGATGATTTTTCTGATGTGTTTTTGGATTTGGTTTGCCAGTATTCATTGCGTATTTTTGCACCGTGTTCATGAGGGAGATTGGTCTGTAGTTCTCTTTCTTAGTTGCACCTTTGTGTGGTTTGGGTATCAGGGTAACTCTAGCCTTGTAAAAAGTGTTTGACAATGTCCCTCTGTTTCTATTGTGTGGAACAATTTGAGGAGCATTGGTATTAGTTCTTCTTTGAATTTCTGGTAGAATTCTGCATTGAAACCATGTGGCTCTGAGCTTTTTTGTTGTTGTTGTTATTGTTGGGAAAGTTTTGATGACTGCTTCTATTTCCTTAGAGGTTATAGGTTTCTTTAAATTGTTTATCTATTCTTGATTTAATTTTGATATGTGGTACCAATCCAGAAAATTGTTCATTTCCTTTAAATTTTCCAATTCTGTGGAGTACAGGTTTTTGAAGTATGGCCTGATGATTCTCTGGACACACAGTGTAAATGGGTTTACAGTCTGAGAGGAAGTAGTGGTGCTGAATTTGGTCTAAGAAAATTCTTCCAGATAATAGGGAAACACCTTCGAGTCAGAAATAAGCAAGGCAGAATCTAAATTGGAGCCAAAGTTTGCCATTGAAAGGTATAGGCCCTAAGCTGCTCACCAGATAATGGGAGCAATCTTCCCCCCAGAGATGAGTCCATTATTAGTAACATGACAGCTGAGAACTACTCAGAAATATGACCAGCATCTGAGTTTCCACCAGTGAAGCACTCCCCACTGACCAGAATAACCTGATCTCCAGGAGGAAAGCATAGAGTCAATAACAAGACGGCCAGTCTAAGTCAGATTTGTGGGAACCAAGCAACAACAGGCTAGATAGAACGCATCCATCCTCTCCACTCCACATTTATCGCCATCCATATTATCTCTCTCACATTACCTTCCCTAGTCTTTCTTTTTACAATTTCGTTTCCCAAAGAACATAGGTTGGCAAGGTTTGCATATATCTCCTTCTTCAATTAACCTTCAATATTTTCTCCTCCCCCTACTCCTTGTTCCTTTGTATATATTTTCTTCTCCCTTTTTCTCAAACTAATAGCAAACACTATTGCTCTCACCCTGCATTCTTTCTGTTGCTGTAACTGTTACTATTTGTTTATTTTTCTTCCTACTCATATCAAAAGCAACTAAAATATTTGTACACAAACTAATATCTGTGTTCCTTTAACTCCTAAATTGATTGTTGAATAAAAACAAATAAATTTCTATTGGGTAAATACCGGACTGCTATTGAGAGCCTATTCTTTGACAGTGATTTTTTTCAGACAATATTGTAACTGCAGGGGAATACTATGGATCAAATCTGGTGTCCTCATTAGCTGTATTGCAGATGAAAACAATACCTCAACCCTATAACAACATAGCTTCATTTGTAAAAACCAAAGAATTCCCCTGAAATAATGAGAGTGATTCAAAATTAATGAGTTAATCATATTGAAATTTAAAAATAAATTCAGCCAAGTGCTAAACTCCAGATATACAGGACCCAATAGAAAGCCATAATTTGAAAAATCAAAAAAAGCAATAGTAGTCCTCCAAAAATCACTAATTCTATAAAACTAGTCTCCAGTAAGTATTAGTTACATGAAATTTTAGTTAGGTGACTCTAGAATATAAAATTAAGGAAGACAAATAAACTGAAGGAATTCTAAGAACTCACACAAAAAATTCAAGGAGGTAACAAATATAAAAATAACAAATATAAAAAGCAAATATTACATATCAAAGAAGGATCCAAACAAGGCAACATTGAAGAAAAACCAAACTAAAATATTGGAAAAATGCAAACGAAATGAAAATGTCTGTAGAATGTTTTAAGGGCAGGATACAACACTTGTGCTTGAATTTATAATGGGGGAATCAGAATATTCCAGAAAGGCCTCATATAAATTAACCTAAAAGTATGGCTGGTACAGTCAGGATACTCATCATGCTATGATAATACCAAATCTAAGAATCATTGATATAAAAGAACAATCAATTTCCATTATGAAGGTATTAATGGTTTTTGCACCAGAAAATTTCCCAGAGTTATGAAACTAGATGCCAACCTAGACACAGCAAGCATTTAGGACACAAACAGAAAATAAACATGAAAGAACTTCCCTTCAACTAAACTACTAATTACAGAGACCAAAAACCTATTTTGAAAGCAACACAAGAGATATTACCTACAAAAGCAGGCCTGTGAGAGTAACAGTAACAATGGGAAAAAAATCCCAAAACCAGGAGATGACATATTTTAAATTCTGAAAAACAACTACCATCCCAAAATATTATATGCAGCAAAACTATGTAGAAAAATTGAAGGAAAACAGGCTGAAGGCATTCATGACCACTATGTCAGATCTATGGAAGATACTTAAAGCTTTGAAGTAAAAAGGAAAATATCCATAGGGCCACAGGAAAAATAAACTGCACTCCTGTAACAGTTAGGTAGAAGAATAAGCCCCAAACCAAAAACAATAAAATATCAGGAATTAACATACACCCTTCAATTTAATTAATTCCTAAGGCAAAAGACAACGATTAAAAGATTAAATTAAAAGCAAGATTCATTGATTTGTTGCCTCCAAACAAACGACAGTTTTTACAGTGAAAAGATGGGTTTTTTTTTTACTAAGCAAATGGAAAAGAAAAACAACTCTCTACCATTGGATTTATATATAATACTTAAAACAGAAAATATAAAGAACAAGAAGAAGGCACAGAAAGCAGCAAGAGAAAAGCCGCACATCACAGATAAAGAAAAATCCATCAGAATAACAGCTGATTTTTCAATGGAAACTTTGAAAGCCAGAAAAGGTTGAAACAATGTAATCCAAGTTCTAAAACACACAAAATCCATACTTCTTCTGTCTATAAGAAACTCATTTTTGTTTTAGTCCTGGGAACTACCTTAAAGTGAAGGGATGGAAAAAAGTGCTGCAAACAAATGGGACCAGGAAGTAAACAGGCATTTTTATCTCAATATCTGATAAAATAGACATCAAACTAAAATTGATTAGAAGAGATAAAGGACACATCATTCAAATAAAGGGGATAAATAACCAAAATGGTACATAACTCTAAACATATATGCACCAAATTCTGGTGCACCAATTTCATAAAAAGTGTATGATTGAGATCAATGGCACAGATTAATAACAACCAAATAATTGTAGGTGCCTTCAATATGTCTCTTCTCCCAATAGACAGGTCATCTGGACAAAAATATAATTAGAAATAAATACTACCATACATTAAATGAACTTAACAGATACCTACAAAATATTCCACCCAACACCAAAGAATATTCATGATACTCAGTAGCACATAGAAGCTTTTCTAACATAGATCACATCTTGGGACAGAAAATAAATATTTGCAAATTAAAAGAGATAGAAATAACTCCTTGTGTCCTACTGAGCAGCAATGCAATAAAACTTAAAATGAACAGAAAAAAAGCCTCTCATAAATGTGCATACTCCTGGGGATCTGGAGATTAAACAATTCGTTTAGGTCAAAGAAGAAATCAAGACAGAAATAAAAACATTTATGAAATTAAACAAAAGTTAAAACGTAGTACAACAAAACATTCAGGACACATTAGATGAAATCTTATTTAAGAAATTTATACCTCAAAAGGGACTACATTGAAAAAACCAGAAAAAGTACAAATAATTGACTTAATGATGCAACCCAATAATTTTGAAAAGGAAAGACAAAGCATATCCAAATGCAGCCAATGGTAAGAAATAATATAAATCAGAAGAGAGATTAATGAAACAGATACAAAGAAAACAATACAAAGAATCAAAAAACCCCAAGAGCTGATTCTTTGAGAAGATAAACGAGATCAAAAGACCACGGCCCATCTAACCAACAGACAGAAAGACAGTAACCTAGCTCAAACTCATGGTCTCTGTGGACCCTCTTTGTGTTTGTTGTTTGTAGAAAAACGAAAGTAGATACAATCATGTTTAAAGAATAAAATTAAGCTAGATGTGGTGGTGCATGCCTTTATTACCAGCATTTGGGAGGCAGATACAGGTGGATCACTGTGATTTTGAGGCCAGCGTGGTCTATGTAGTGAGTTCCAGGATAGCTGGGGTTACATAGTAAGACCCTGTTTCAAAAATTCAAAGAATGAAAGAATGAAACTAATCTCAGAAACACAGATAGTCTATACATTTTCTCATTTGTGGTTCCTAGATTTTATGTATTCACACACACATATATGTATGTGTGTGTGTGTATATATATATGTATATATATAATTGAATTGGAAGTGAGCATTTCTGTTGAAACAAAAAAAATAAATAAGAAGTAGAGGGAGGAGGAAAAGAGATGAATGATGACGCAGAACATGATCAGCATATATGTATTCTTGTAAGAAAATGTTTATCTAATTAATAAAGTTTGAATTGATTAAAATATAATGTCAACTTATTTAAAAGCTATAATATTGTGCACACTATACATTAAAATAAGAATACTAATGCAATTAAACATCATGTATTACTAAGAATATTGAACTGTGATCATGAGAGAATAAAGATGAAAAATTACTTCTATAGTTTTTTATGAAAATAGATTATAGTTCTCCACTTAGAGATTTAAAAAAATATGAATTGAGAACCACTATTCTTACTGATATTATAAATTTTAATTCTATATTTATTTTTGGTCCTGAACTTCTACTATATAGATAAAGGTCATGTGAATTTCCAACATACAAAGAAATCTTGCAAGTGAAAATCTGTGTAACTGTGCAATCTATCCTAGCCTCCTTTGCTTATTTTCTAAAATCTTATATCAATATCTATATAGTAAAAAGACACACAAATATAAAATAGAGCACAAAGAATAGTTTATCCTAGAAATTAGTTTTTGTGTACATTAATTCCTAAAGGTCAATTTACAGCAACCTAAAATACACCTAGCAACCAGTTTCTGATTCCAGCAGTTTCATGCGAAGACTTAGAGAAACCATGAAATGTTTAGAGTAAGGACTGAATGCTATCCTAAATCCTACAAAAAAAGTATAAGAGAGGGATCCACTTCCTACCTTTCGCTTAATATTTTCAAGAAGACAGGCTCCTCCTTTTTTGAAGAGTGGATGCTGAAATTCCATGGCAACTTTCATTTCCTCAGTAGTCTTTTCACTCTGCGGTGAAATCTTTCGGAAACCATCTAGTATAAAGGAAAAAATTGAAAATTAGACAATAATAATGAATATCATACAAGAGATTCTAACAAGAAATCTGAAAGGATCACAAGAAGTAAGTAATATTTAAAATTTTTGACGGTCATAAAAGATAATTGGTACACTCCAATAGCATAATTTCAAACTTGGATGTTACTGTTTCTTCTTATTCTTTGTGTCATGTGTGTATCTCTGTCTCTCTCTCTCTCTCTCTCTCTGTCTCTCTCTCTCTCTCTCTCTCTCTCTCTGTGTGTGTGTGTGTACACATGCACAAGCATCTGTGTTGATGTGGTCTCCTGTGTGCGAGCATATAGAGACCAGAGGTTGATGTCATGATTTCTTCTTTAATCCCCTTTCCACTTTATTTTTTGAGGTAGCATCTCTCATTGAACTTGGAATTTGCTATTACATCTAAACTGGCTGGCCAAGTGAGGTCCTTAGATCTGCCTATCTCTGTCTTTTACACTTCAGGCTGGGATTTAAAATGTTCAACGTCCACCTGACTTTTACATTGGTCAAGGGAACCTGAATCCATTTTCTTACACTTGCATAAGAATTTTACCAACTGAGCTGTTTTCCCAGTCCCAGCATTTGAGATCTAAATTGCTTATACACAACTTGGGAGCAACTTTAGAGTCAAAATAAATAAGACTGGGTCACATACACATTTATATATAATAATCCAGCCTCATTTTAACCAACAGGTTCCAATTTTTCCAGTAGCTAACTAAATGCCAAGATACCACAATATATCATGTATTTCCAAGTGTGTGTGTATGGGGGGGGGGTAACACTATGTGTTCTGGGTCTTATCTCCTTTTGGAACCATTCTAATCATTTGGAAAATACTGAAAAAGAAGACAGTATGAAAAAGGAAGGAAAACAGACATGTTGATCAATGGAATTGAATGGAAGATCTAGACATAACTCCACATACCCATGGACACCTGCTTTTTTATAAAGAAGCCAAAAATAGACACTGGAAAAAAGACAACATTTTCAATAGATGCTGCTGGTGAAACTGATATCTTCATGTAGAAGAAGACAAATAGAACCATATCTATCACACTGCACAAAACTCAAGTCCAAGTGGATAAAAGACTTCAACATAAAGCCAGACACACTGAACCTGATAGAAAAGAAAATAGGGAGCAGCCTTGAAATTATTGGCACAGGAGACAACTTCCTGAACAGAATACTGATAGTGCAGGAACTAAGATCAACAATTAATAAATGGGACTTCATGAAACTGAAACGCTTCTGTAAGGCAAAGAACACCATCAAAAGGACAAAACACCTGCCTATATAAAGGGAAAGTTTTTTTTTCCAATTCCACATCTAGTAGAGGTCTAATATTCAAAATATATAAAGAATTCAAGAAAGTAGGTATCAAAAAAGCAAATAATCCAATTAAAAGGTGGGAACATATCTAAATAGAAAATTATCAATAGAGGACTCTCAAATGGGTGTGGAACACTTAAAAAAATGTTCAACATACTTAGCAAGCAGGGAATGCCAATCTAACCTACTTTGAGATTCTATCTTACAACTCTCGGAATGACTAAGATCAATAACATAACTGATAGCTCATGGTGGTGAGGATGTGGAATATGCCGAAGACTCCTCCATTGCTGGTGGGAGTACAAACTTATACAGCCACTTTGGAAATCAATATGCAGTTTCTTAGAAAGATAGAAATCAATGGACTTCAAGATCCAGCTATATAACTCTTGTATATATATACCTAAAGGACACTTGATTTTACTACAAGGACACTTGCTCAACTATGTTCATTGTTGCTCTATTCGTAATAGCTAGAAACTGGAAGCAAGCTAGATGTTCTTCAACAGAAGAGTGGCTAAAAAAATGTGGTACATTTACACAATGGAGTAATTTTAGCTGATAAAAAATGATATCATAAAATTTGCAGGCAAATAGATATAACTAGGAAAAAATAATCTTGTGTGAGGCAATCCAGGCAAAGAAAGATAATATGGTATACAGTCACTTATATGTGGATAACAGCCATTAAATAAATGATAACTGAGCTACAATCCATAGACCTGGAGAAGTTAGGTATAAAGAAAGGCATAGGCCATGGAGGGGAAAATAGAATAAATTTTAGGGGTGGACTGGAGATGGGGAACTGGAATGGAATATTTGTGTGGGAGGGTAAGGGGAGATAAAGTTGAGGGAGGGGATGCAGGGAGAGACAGCTAAAATTGAGGCGCATTTGAGGGAATGTATGCAAACCCAGTGCTGTTGAAGCTTTCTAAAATATTTGAAGGTGATTCTAATAAAGTATTCAAATAATGAGAGAGATAAAAGCCCAACTGGCTATCTCTTGTCACCAAATGAAACTTCCAGCATCGAGACTTGGTTCCATCCAAAAGAGTTGTGAGCCAATGGGGTTCCATGGAAATCCCCCTAAAAACCCCCAGGATGTTGCCAAGATAATAGGTTGCTCTCTACAAACTGATGGCATGAACCCATTGCTGAAGACAACACTCGTACAACTCTGTATGGCAAAGGACGCCATCAAAAGGACAAAGCACCTGCCTACATATATGGAAAGTTTTTTTTCCATTATGGGAACGTTATGGAGACATCGAAGCTGATCCTCACATAGAGCCTTCACCCAGTTGCAAAACCTGAAAGAGTTTTCAGCCTGAAAGAGGCAGAAAGAGTGTGCACACGCATGGGAGGAGGAGAGGGAGAGGAAAGTACAAACAAGATGTATTGTATGAGAAAAGTATATATTTTTAATAAGATGGGGAAATACATAAATAAATATATAAACATTTTTTTAAAAAAGAAAAAAACCAAAAAGATCTGGAGATATGCCAAACTAGGTCATTTATTCCCAAGCAATAAACATCCTAACCAAATTAAAAATATATATACTAAATATCTGAATAAAGACTTCTCAAAAGAACAATGTGTGTGTGTGTGTGTGTGTGTATGTGTGTGTGTGTGTGTGTGTGTGTGTGTGTGTGTGTGTGTGTAAAAGACCCTGGATAAGCAAAGAAATCTTGAGAAGAAAAGGATAACGCTGGAATGGCTATCATATCTCTTCTCAGGTGATACTTCACAGACATGGTAGTTAAAACAGCACAGCACTGGCAGAAAATTGGGCCAATGGAATATAACTGAAGATCCACATTCATGTCCATGCAATTATTACTTCCTGATTTTCTACAAAATTGCCAAAAATGTTCACTGGAGGAATGACAGATACTTCATCAAATGATCTAGGGAAACACAATGTCCACACATAGAAAGAAACTAGACCCATTTCTAGCACCCTACACAAAAGTCAACTTGAAATAGATCAAAGACAGTGTGGAACCTGAATCCTTAAAGTGTTAGAAAACTTAGGATGCACTCTAAATAGAGCTTCATTCTTTAAACAGTATTTTACAGATTAAATAAAACCACAGTCAAATTCTCCATGAATTAATGCCAACAATAGACTAATAGAACACTGTGAAAAATGAAAAGCTCGTCTATATGTTGATTTTGCATCCTGCAACTTTGTGGAAAGTGCAGTAAGTTCTAGGAATTTTCTGGCAGAGTCCTTGGCATCTTTTATAGTATCACATCATCTCCCAGTGATAATTTGACTGCTTCTTTTCCTACTTGTATTCTTTTGTTTTCTGCTCTAGCTAGAACTTTGAGCACTATGTTAAATAGGAGTAAAGACAGCAGTCTTTTGTTCTTGATTTTAATGGTATTGGTTCGAGTTTTTCTCCATTTAAAGGTGATGTTGACTGTGCACTTGTCATTTATGGATTTTAATATTTTGAGGAATGTTCCCTCTGATTTGAATTCCTCTAGCAATTTCACTATGAAAAGGATGTTGTGTTTTTGTCAAAAATTTTCTCTCCTCTATTGAGATAAGCATGAGATTTTTGTCTTTAACACATTTATCAATTTGAATATATTCTGTAATTTTAGGGAATATTCTGTAGATGTCTGCTAGATCCATTTGGTCTCTGACATTTAACTGTGATATTTTCCTGTTTGTTTTCTTTTCTTTTCGTTCTGCTGGATTTCCTGTCCATTCTTGACAGTATGGCTTCAAAGTCATTGACTCTTACCAACCTGATATTACTCTGTAATTTAGTATCTACCAGTGTTTCTCTTTGTTCTGAAGTATTCCATCCAATAATCTTTGTAAGGCTCGTATAGTGGTCATAAATGCTTTCAGTCTGTTTTAATCATGGAATTTTTCATTCCTTATCAATTATGACTAATAATCTAGCTGAGTAAAGTTATCTGCTGGAAATGTGTCCCATAAGGACTTCTTAGGTGCTTACAGAGAGTTCTAAGGTGGGTGGTGACCTTGGCAACTTTCTTTTTTAAATTGATTTTATTGAGCTATACATTTTTCTCTGCTCCCTTCCCTGCCTCTCCCCTCCCCCCTTCAACCCTCTCCCATGATCCCCATGCTCCCATTTACTCAGGAGATCTTGTCCTTTTTTCACTTCCCATGTAGATTAACTCTATATATGTCTCTTTCAGAGTCCTCATTGTTGTCTAGGTTCTCTGGGATTGTGATTTGTAGGCTGGCTTTCTTTGCTTTATGTTTAAAAACCATTTATGAGTGAGTAAATATGATAATTGTCTTTCTGGGTATGGGTTACCTTACTCTAGCTCCATGCATTTTCCTGCAAATTTCAAGATGTCATTATTTTTTCTGCTGTGTAGTACTCCACTGTGTAAATGTATCACATTTTCCTTATTCATTCTTTGGTCAAGGGGCATTTAGGTTATTTCCAAATTCTGGCTATGACAAACAATGCTGCTACGAACATAGTTGAGCACATGTCCTTGTGGCATGATTGATCATTTTTTTGGATATATACCCAAAAGCGGTATTACTGGATCTTGAGAAAGGTTGTTTCCTAACTTTTTGAGAAATTTCCATACTGATATCCAAAGGGGCTGTACCAGCTTGCACTTGCACAAGCAATGCAGGAGAGCT